TGTGTGTGTGTGTGTGTGTGTGCGTCTGTGTGTCTGTGTGTGTCTGTGCATGTGTGTATGTGTGTATGTCATACTTGTACAAACTGAATTTTACATAAACATAAACACAAATTAAAGCCACGCTCTTATTTTCAGCGGCTAACAGATGTATAATGCATATCCTCTTAATGGCTGCTTTGTGTGAAATAACGCTTCTTCCTGCAGTGAACAGCCTTCATGTTTACTGTGGGGAAAGATAAAAAAAAAAAACCTTCTCATTTTCTGTTATTAATCCATAAATCCGCAACCAAGCTGGAGAAAATCTCTGTTTTCTCGGGAACGGGCCTTCAGATGTTGCTGAGCGAGTTTCTGGGTGTCTTTGGAGTTCCATGACGATTTACGGGCAAATAAACAAGTCAAATGAGTGGTAATCTTCCCTTGTGGTGCCTTATTATGTTTTATTGGTGAAGGGAATGTTTTGGTCTCAGGTGTATCATGTCAGCCAAGGGACACCTGGGTGCCTGTGATTCTAATCCGACGGAGCTGTGCTTCTCATTTGAAGTCCAAATGTCCCCGACAATGTAATAAAAGCTTTCTTTTTCAGGTCCCCACAAAGATCTATATCTTTGAGAGGCCCCACAAAGATATAATTACAAACCTGTACGTGTGTGTGTGTGTGTGTGTGTTTGAAAGTGAAAGCAGAGGCCAATTAACTTTGCCTGCCATTGCCCTGTGTTCCAGGCTACCCCCGCTACACCGTGGTGGGGGACCATGACGAGGGCGAGTACCACCTGCACATCCAGCGGGTGGATCTGTCGGACGACGCCCTCTTCGAGTGCCAAGCCATCCAGGCAGCAATCAGGTCGCAATCTGCCCGCGTCACAGTGCTGGGTAAGGAGAACAGGCAAACTCCAACAACAAGGGCTCCGTGCCACCCTAAAACAATCCACAAACAGTGGAAAGTTCAGGTCCAGAAAATTTAAATACAGATAATAATAAACATTTTGTTTCAGGCCACAAGTTGAACATAAAGAGAGCTCATCTGGTTGAAACAAAATCTTGGTCCGGATTTTTTTACTTCCTGGCCATGAAATTTCAACGTCTGCTAGATACTCGTCTCATTGGCCGCGAGCAACAAAGTAAACACACTTCTACTGGCAGAGCATGACGCTGCCGCTCGTGGGAGATAAACGCGTGCAGAGTGTCAGAGCCGCCAGCACCGGTGTGTGTGGAGAGGGTCTCCCCGAGGGCCGGCCGCTTTTCCCTTAATTCAGGAGAGTAATTACCTTGCTCGTTTGCCCCTCGCAGCTCCGCACAAAAGCTGTGCGACTGTCGGGATTAATTTCCTGTCCTCGCCCACAGTGCTTTTTGTTCTAAAAAAGAACAGATTTAATCTGTATTTAATAGGTTAGTATGGAGCGTGTGTGTAATTTTTTCAATCAAAGACAAATGATTAATTAATGTCAAGATTAATATTGTAGTATTACTATTATTTGACTGTATTTGTTGATCAGGTTCGTGTATCGTAATATTCCAGCAGTTTCTGCTTCCTTGTTACACAAGAAGCGTTAATAGGTAAACAGGTTGTTCGTGAGCTTTCATGTTATTGTGAATTTTTGACTTTTATTAATTTGTTTGTCTGCTTGTATCTTTTTATATCTGATGAGCAGTGTCGGGGGGGGGGGGTGTAAGGGATGCTGTGAAAGGGAGAGGGAGAATAAGCAAGGTACAAGGAATAGGGGACTGGCCTGCCTTATTGAAAGTGAAAGTGAAACTAATAATTTGGGGAAGAAGGAAGGAAACACATTGTCCTAGGACCCCTTGCAAAATAAAATGATGATGTCATCCTGCAGTCTTGATCTTTGGCAATGATGATGTCATACTGCAGTGTCAGGGTGCTTTCAAGTATACATTCTTGACCATACTCGTGTTCTCGTGAACCCATTTTACATCATCTTCCACTGCCAAAGACCAGGTCCAATACTCAAGAATAGAAGTACAGAGAACAGTAAAAATCCCTGGATGTCGTTCTTGCCCTGCCCCAAATATCAAGGATACATCAATTGCATCCTCATCAATTGAGACCATTTCCCTGATTCATTGCACCCCAAGTTCATTCTTGGGAGGCAAGTTAGCAAGACCAGTTTTGCCAGGACCACAAGTATGATCTTTGCATTCTTGGTTTGAGAAACACCCTTGGTCTCTGGCAATAATGATGTCATCCTGCAGTCTTAGTCTGACAGTGATGATGTCATCCTGCAGTCTATGGCTCTGATGATTATGATGTCATACTGCAGTCTTAGTCTCTGACAATGTCATCCTGGGATCTCTTGTTTTTTTCATGGCTGTGTTTTAGAGCTTATGTTTATGTTGCTTTGCGTAACAGTTCTGTAAAGCCCCCTTTAATGACAGTTAAACCCGGGTATTTGTGTTCACAGCAGATCCCAGCATTGGGCATAGAAGTTTCTTTTCTGAGCTAGTCGATCTGGCCCTAATGTAAATGCAGCGACACAGATTAGACTCAGGATATCTTATGGCTACGAGGTTTTAGGTCCTACTTACCCACCCAGTCACCAAAACGAGGATGATGGGGGTGTAGGTCACACGATGGGGGTATAGGTCCTCTACAAGGACCAAGTGTGCATGTGGGGATATTTGCTTTATTCATTTTTGTTTTAGATTTTTTTTGAATGGGGTGGGTTCATCCTGGCCCCCCAGTGACAGCTACGCTTCATTATTCCTCGAATAATAGGCCTCTAAGGTGAGCAGAGTCATGTGACCTGGAGACATGGGGGTGGGAACAGGGGCCGGAAGGGGAGAGGGGACCCCAGAGATATGCCGACTGCCAAACAGAGTCTTCTAAAGAAATAATCTAAGCCTGTTTGCAATGACTTTGAATTTAATTGGCCGCATTAACGAGCAGCTGAATAAGCAGGTAAAGCGCTAAGCCGTTTAAATCACCCCGAAACGAATCGACAGGGAGATGATGTACGTGAGACGGTGTGGCAGTTTGGCAGAGGAGGAGAGTCCTGTCAAGAAGCATCTTAGTCTGATCCACAGCAGCGGGAAATGGCAGAGTTCGAGAGAGACTCGTAGTGGGGTGTTTGCCACGGCAAACAGGCACAGGTACGTGGTCATACCGGGGGGGGGGGCGGGCGAGTGTGGTGGGACACTCCGGGGGGAACAATCCTTCCATTTGGCATGGGAATGAAGTCACTCTGAATGGTGATGGGGGCGCCATGAGCCCTTGTGTGGATAGGGGCTCCCCCACGCACTGTCACGAATCGCCCCCCAGGGAAATGTGCCACCTCTCCATTGCTGAGAGAGCCTCTCTTCCCTGCCACGCGCTCTCTCACGCCTCTAAAGCAGGTGCTGGCTTCTCTGGGGTTTTTTCTCTGTTTTCTCACCACCTGATTGGTCGTCAGCCTGAGAGCCTGCAGACTCTTTCCTGCCAGCTCTCGTGTGATGCCTGGGCCCCTTTCCATCCCAGTCTTGATTCGATAAGAGTTAGCAGCTAATGGCTACATGGCCCCTCACACTTGGGGGAAACCTGGTTTTCTTGTACACAGGATCTGTTGTCTTGATGATTGACCCCAGCCTTGCACCTGATATCCTCATTAAGAGTCGGCAGGTTATTCGAGGAAGATTATGTCTGACGTTTTTGGGGATCGTGATCTTTGTTGGCCTCCTGAAGTCCTCTTTCCTGCGTGATACTTCTTGGCCAACCATATCGACTGGTCGCCAATGGCAGCACAGGTAGCTCTGTAAGGAAGTGTTAGCCAGATGAATTAAAGGCGGAATGTGCCGGACCACTGTGTGTGGGAACCTCCGAGTTAAGCGGCGGCGTGAAAGTGCTCGAGGGTGCGGGGGCGGGGGCTGAATCCTACCCCACTTCAATACATCAAACACCATTATTGATAAATCGCTCAGATGATAAAGTTGCCTCAGCACAAGGCGGAATTAGGTCTGGGGGTTTGGGGGGGCAATTTGAAACAAGGCAGCAGCTTCAGCAAGGGGTTTGATATCACTTTACCCAACATACAGGGAAACCGTATTCCTGGGAATATAATGGCAACCCTGATTTGTGCAACCAGTCTTAACACAGGTCAGATTTAAAAAAAAAAGCTCAAATATTGCTGGAAATATGGTGGCCTCTGACATATGACCCTGGACTGGGGACCCTCATGGTCGATCCCCTAGCAACCGAGCCTTTGAATTAATTAACCATGGACAGGGTACACAAGAACAACCCTGGGGGGCTAATTAGACTGCACAGCCCCTCCCTCAGTGACAGAAGGGGGCTTTTCTTTTGGGGCGCAGTTCACACTTGGGGTCAGAAGGCTGGAGCAGGTCACCTGCTCGCTAATGGCCCAGCAAGACCTTGTTATCATGTCTGACCTGTGCTCAGCCTTTCATTTCCAAAGTATGCAGGCACAGCTAAAAAAAAAAATCCCCAGAAAATAATTTAATACCATATATCTGCACAGTGAAATATTTATCACCCTGAAGGTTGAGACTTATTAATGCAGCATAAGTCGCTGCAAAATTGAGTAGGTAAAAAAATTTTTTTGAATTCATTGCTACCCAAACTAGCATCCTGAGAGCGTAAACACAGCGCTTGCAGCTGAGAGTTGCTTATGGAGGAGTTCATCTCCTGCCAGCTTGGTTTTTGTTTTTGCAGACGACTCCTCCTCCCTCGATTTCTCTCCTCGCCTCTTTTTTTGCCCTCCGTGGAATCAGCCACACTGGTCTGGATTCATTAATCTAGCTAATGCAAGCCAGCCGGGCGTATTTTAACCAGTGCGACTGGGCGGGGTCAGGATTCGGTCGCCGTGGCGATGACAGACCACCACGGTCCTGCATCCTGACTGCATCACTGTGGCTCCCTAATAAAAAAAAAGACGAATCCCGTGGATTTGAGGTCAGAACAAGACGCCTAAAACGCATTTATTTCTCTGGCAAAGGACAACTTACTGCACTCATCGCCCAGAGAATTAGTTACACAGTGAAATCAGGGGCTAGACACCCTTTCCAAGAATTACTGCAAAACAGAATCTTTCCTGATAGAAAGTTATTTTTAGGGGTGTTTGTTACACATGGTAATGTGGCATTTAAATGATTACTTTTTAATTTCACAGCCTGTAATGTCAGATTAGTGAGATTAGACCTCCATAAATCTGTGTCCTTTCTCCCTCTATCCGTGACCACAATGCTCTAATATGAGGAATAAACAATGTAAAGAAGCCTTTTTGCTTTTTTTGTGTACATTCCCATTACTTTAAAGACAACATCTAAAGGAGCCTTGGTTGTTATTAGCTTCTGTTTAATAATTAACACTCGTTCAAAGCTTGAGTTAATTTCCTGTCACGGAGAGGAGATGATAACGTGCTGTGAGCCAAAGCATTGTGCTGGACTTCAGGAGGAGCTGCTAGAGGTTTCACGTGTCATTGCGGGATTTTCCCCCTCTGTTCCTTTGGCGAGATCATCAGCAGTCTGTCCAGCAGCGCTGGAGGTTATTTTTTCGGGGGGAAAGATCAGCACTCGTCAGACACCACAGGGGACGAGCTGTTCTGGCAAATATGAAGTCGGGTTTGCGGAATACGGGAACGTGCTTCATCTTCCTTTCACGCAGCTCATAATGGAGGATCTAGATGATTGCCTCTGCGTCTCTATGTTTGTCATTTGAGTTTTTTAAAAAAAAGGCTTTTGGATGTGACGTGCTTCGCAGGATGATATTTCGGGAGGCGGCTGCATTTTCCGGCAAGAAACGGGACGGTGACAAGGACTACGTCACCCGAATCGGCGTCCCATCGAGCGTCCACTGACTGTCGCTCTGCATGCCGTTAATGGTGCCCCCTGTCCCGACAACATCCAGTAAACCGGAGCGAAGAAAGAGAAAGATAAATGAAAACATGATCAAAAACACAGTCGAAGAGAACAAGGGCCTCCCAGCTCGTCTGAATATTTATTAGTGAAAAGCAAATGAGTGTGAAGGAGCTGCTTGATGAGGTTGAGCTACAAACAGCAGGAGAAAGAGCAGCCTTTGCGTCAAGAGGAGCGAGAGGAAGGCGTCCCACCAAGGACACCAGCCGTATTCCAGACCCCTACCCGGAATGTTCCATCTGTACGTGCCGCTATTTTTCTTCTGCTTTTTCCAAGGCCTCGAAACCAATGGAGTGAAGCCACTTCCATCTCAGGTGCCATGAGAGTCAGCGATCCAAGGCATAGCAGAACAAAACCCTGTGTGAAAGAAGCCAGACGTCTCCGACCCATGGGCAGATCATAGTCATGCCTCAGAGACTTCCACATATTAAGAACACCACTGGGATCTTGGACCTGAGGTCTAAGTCTGGACTCTGTTGGAGGTAATTAATAAGTTCTCCGTGTGACCTTGTGCCTGTCTGGAGGTAAACGCCAGTCGGTGGCAACAATTCTGAGAGGTTCTGCTGTGAAGAATAGCTTTTGAAGAACATCACTTCAGTAGCACAGAGGAAGACGATTAAGTGTTAATGGGCAAACGGGGGGTGGAATTCCGTCAAGGTCATTTCAGAGCAGAAGCTGTAAGGTCATGGAAATAGGCAGAGAGCAGGCCGCAGAAAAACACCAGGAACGGGTCGATGGGGGCTGGTGAAGGGGGCTCGGGGGTGGGGGTTCACAATCGGCAGGTAGGGGGCTCGCGATCGGTGGATGGCGGCTCATGGTCAGTCAATCACAGATGGCAGCTCACAGACAGTGGATCTCAGACAGCAGCTCACGGACATTGAGTCACAGATGGCAGCTCATGGTCAGTGCATCACAGACGGTGGCTCACAGACAGTGGATCACAGATGGCAGCTCACAGTCAGTGGATCACAGATGGTGGCTCACAGATGCTGGATCACAGATGCAGTCGGTGGATGACAGACAGTGGATCTGCCACACACCTCTCAGTTGGTTCCTTGTTTCTGATGGAAAACCAGATAGATCCCGTTTCCTTGACGATGGATAAACATGCCCCCAGGTCTGTCCGACTGCCGGGACGGCAAGCGAGCCGCCTTATCAGCCGGTCCGGGGCCCATATGCACCCACATTAATCTCAGCGCCAGTTAATTAACTCCAGTGGCATCTCTTATCTGAGGGGTAGGGGGAGTTAATGCTACGTGCCCCAGCAAAAAAAAAAAAACCTTTTTCTCGCATGCTGCTTTCCGGAATAAAAAAGCTATTGTCTCATTCCCTTTTTATCCTTCGTGTTTCCCGATCCCAGGAGAGCAGGAAGCCGGAATATAGTCGCACTGGTTTGGAGATAATCTGAGATTAAACGGGGGCCATCTTTCAAACAGGAGCAGGCCGCTTCATCTGTCATTGCAGAAGGAAGATCCCCTTGGCCACATCACACGTCACATGACACCTGGAGGACAGCGCTGTCAGGCAGACCGTGGCCTGAAAGCCCTGAAATCGGCGGTCGATGTCCCAAGGTTTGAGAGATATGAGCTGTTTGAGATTAAGGCTGCAGGCAGCCACAGAAAGCGCTGATGGTTCAGTACTTAACGTGCTCGACGTATCCTCACCCCTAGACACGCACTTCATCAGGCAGCATCAAATGAGTTTAGCATCAATGGCCACGTATCACAAGATTAAATCCCCTGCTAATGGCTGCCTCTCTCTCTCCCGCTCGCCCGCTCACTCACACACAGAGGTGCAGCGCTTTCTTTCGCTTCTACAGCCCGTGGCGTCGACATCGTGAAAACGCATCCCTCTTGTTCCCCACCTCCAGGTTGGCACCCCCCTTTCCCTTTCTTGAACACTGTAGTGCCTCATTTTTCATTTCTCAATTTTGCTGTTACTGTATAATGTATCACATTAAAAGTGTGTTAAAAAAAGAAAGAAACTTGTTAAAGAGACAAGGGGAATCCCCAGCTGCGGATTGGCCAGGTTATCGGTCTTCCTCAGTTACCCACAATGCATCATGGTCCAAAAACGCATTTGTTCCACTGAAACTTGACAGCAGAATCTTTGGCTATGGTCAGATACAAAAGGGTGCGAGAGGCTTGACAGCTGATCCGCGTTGGAAGTGTGAACCGTACACCTCGCAGTCTTTGTAAGGATCTCTGCCCGCTGGAGGACAAGAAGCTAAGCAGGCAGATATCAGACATGCATCTACCAGGAAGGAGAGCATTTGTACCCATCTGTGCGAAGACTGAGAGGACGAGAGGAGCAGCCAAGCACAAATTCATGGTCTCCGTGGGGGAGCAGCAAACAAAAACACACGTTCTGTCGTTCCTTCAAAATCGGCGCATAAGAATGTGCAATTTCTGGACGACTCCTTATGCGGTGCAGAAACTGATCAAGCTGATTCTAGGTGCAGTCATCTTGAAATTAAACATCTGCCGTTCTGCCACCGGACGACCACAGGCCGTCGGTGGCAAAGATCTCAAGGCTGATAGCAGGCCTGGGATGATGGGTTTGTTTTTATTGTGGGTACAGCCCGGCCACATGAATGAAACTCATCTGCTGGCTCTCTCTTGGAGAACAACAGCAGGATCAAGATGGTTCTCGAGCGCATGTGAGAAGGGACCCACGGTCAGGACGAACACATCACTGAGGGGGTGATGGGGGCGGAGCCATACTCGGAGTGCCACTTGCCACGCCCACAGACCAGACAGAGAGCATTTCTCTTTCTCTGCCACCAGACGGTGTGCAGGTTAAAGAACCGGATTCACATACAGTGCATACGGCCTGTCGCTCTCTGTGTCGGCCTGCCCTTCAGAAGCCGTGTATTCAAAACGCCTGTGATTAAAAATGTGTCACGTGTTCAAGTCCCAGGATGCTTAACCTTTAGCATCCAGATGATTTAAAGGATAAACGGAGAACCAGCTTCATAAGTCCCTCTGGGTATAATTATCCTCTCAGCAAACACGCAAACGGAGCCAGGCGAAGCTCTCAGCATCAGGCAGCGAAACAAGCTCCGACACCGCGAAGGGCATCTTAAACAAACATGCATTCCCCTCGTTCACGGCGCCTCCGTGATATATCAGAAACTTCGTCAGCTGAATGTGAATGAAATGTGAGGAAGAGTTTTTTTCCTCAGCTGCGGAAATAAATGGACTAATTCTTGAATCTGACATCTGAGAAACAATCAGGGGAAAAGGTGTAGAGAGAAGATTTACTGGAGCTGATTCTGTGATGTGGTCTCACCGGGTTGACCTCAGTGTGGTACCGCCTCTTTTTCCTGAAGCAAAAGGAAGCACATGCCACAGTCATATCCTGAATTACGGTATGACTGCACTGGCTTTCACTCATCATCAAAATCCTGCCTGCCTTACCCAGTCCATGGGGGCTTCGTCTTCCTCGTTTATGATGAAGAAGTGCAGGGATGTCCTGCAGATTACGCCACTGTCTATCCACGGCAAATCTGTTCACGCATTTTATTTTGCCATTAGGGTTGCAAAATTCTGGGAATATTCCGTTACATCCCGTTTATTCCTGGTGTTTCCAATGGAAAGTTTCGAACTTGGAATATTTTCAAAATTCCCAAGCTTAACTTCCCATGGAATGGAAAGTTTCTGGAAAGTTTCCAGAAATTTACCACTCCTTTGTGGCCCTATTTTTCATTATGTTTTGCCAATATCCCTCCTTCTTGGTTTTTAGGGCAAAGAGTGAAATGGGCACAGTCAAAGAGGCTTTTCTCAGAGCCGGCCAAAAGGGGATAAATAATTCAGCGTGAGTGTTTAGCCATTTTTCCAATAATAGTTAAAGGAAGAGCTTTTGTAAGCCCTCCTATAGCTAATCACAGGTATGTGTCCCCACAGATAAACACGCACACACATGCACACGCATGACAGCCCGAATCAGCTTTAATTCCACCTGGCAGCCGTGCATCTCTCTAATTAGCTAAGGGGCCCGATCAATAATTCACTGGAGCTTGAATAAATCCAGAGCTATCAGTGCCTGTTATGCAGGAGAAGGGGGCTGCAATCAGTGCCAGTTTCAGACCTGAATTCCCCTCCCCCCCCCCACGCGGTCTCTCCGCCCCCTCAGACTGAAAGCGTGTGCATGCATAGCATATGTATGGAATGTATATAGTACAGGATAGTAGAGTGTTAGTTAAGTATGGTTATTGGTTAGCCTGCTGTGGTGTGGTTTTTCTAAAGTGAGACAAGTGACTTCTGTACAGGTGCGTTTCATGGCCCTCGGCCAGTTCAACTCCGCAGCCGCTGATTCGCTAAGAAGGTCACGTGACCCTGCGTTTGTTTTCCGCACACTCCACACCCCGCAGGCCTTCTCCACACCGCGCCCATCGATCTGCCCCGGCTGCGTTCCGATCCTTACGGTGATAGTGAAAGCCTCCCCCCATTTCGATTTCTGGGCTGTATTTCTAGCGCTCGCGGTGAGCAGTCGGCATGACGACGAGGTGCTCGCCAGTGGGCGTCCGTGTGAGACACGCGGGGGGAAGGAGAGATACGATGAGCGATGCTTTGTGTAGATTCCCATTCTGGCACCTGGATGAGTTCTTTCTGTTTGGCTGACGGTGGCCCCTCCCCGTCTCTAGTGCCCCCTGATGACCCGGTGATATCCGGCGCCCCCGTGGTGAGTCTGCGAGCGGGGGACCCCCTCAACCTGACCTGCCACGCCAACAACGCCAAGCCAGCAGCATCCATCATCTGGATCCGGGATGGAGAGGTGCTCAGTGGCGCCACCTACTCCAAGGTAAGCTTTGGTGGGGCAGAACAAAGAGGATTATGGGTGATTACATGGCAGGGATAACAGACCCATGCTGCTTCATTGTGCTTCCCTACTGGCTCGTGAATGTCGGGTCTCGTTCCGGAAGCTTCCCTGGTGCCCACAGGAGCCCCATTTTGGACGTACCCAGCTGGCTCAGGTTCTGGCTCTAAATGAGCTGGGTGTCACAGTAAACAAACCAAATCCAATAACCAGAGCAAGAGTGCCGGTCCCAGTGGGTGCGGCCAGCGTGCGATCGTCACGGCAGATTAGCGGTAAACACTCAGCCCAGAATGTTTCTTTTTTGGCGGCTAAGGAGCTGACATTATGGTTCATTTCCAAGGTGAGACGATGCGAGCGGCAATCGCTTTACACAGAGCGATCATTCCACAGGCGGAGGGGAGCCGGCCTTGAAAAGGACCCCGCCAACGGACAAGATCCCCACATTCAGAACCGATACCGTGGCCCCGCATCCCCAAAAACACGTGCTCCATTGCTCACCCAGCCCCCACCCCCCCCGGCTCCCCCACCTGCCACCACCTCACCCAGGAGCAGCAGCTGATGATGTAGTTAACCTTCCCCCCCGAATGTATAATCAGTGTCAATTTCCATATAAATGAATCGAGCATGAAAGTCTCTCTTTTTTTGCCGCTGATTTCTGTTCACCGGCGCTGATCCCATTAAAGACTTTTCGTCGTTTTCTAAAGGGGACAAATAACATTGATTGAGCTGGAATACGACAGTGAATCACTGGCAGGCCCGATTGCTCTGGGCCCCAGGAAAATGCAGAAATGCGTGTGATGTATGTATGTATATATTCATATTCGATATGGCTGCCACGTCCCATTTGCTCACACTGTATTACATGCTCTGTAGTGCTCACCTCTACAAACGGTTTGCAGTATATATACATAATTATTAATGAAAATATAATTGAAGATGTCTCACTTGCAAATTACCTCCTGTGGAAGGAAAAGAACAGCCGGCACTCGGGCAAGATTTTAAATGCGTTCACAACCGCAGTGCCACTTACAGGCTAATTAACCTCCTTTTTTCCTTTCTGAAAATGTAAAGTATATGTTAGCAAAGCAAAAAGAGGATTTTATTGTTAATAAATCAGCCAGAGGGGGCGACTGGCTGTAAGAAAGCGGAGAGGAGAGCCTGACTAGTGTACTCTGTGATCAGCAAGCTAATAAAGCAGCTGACTGTGCCTGTTAGCACCTGCGGCTTCTGCCGCTACCGACGCGGCCGACTGAGCGGCCTTTGTCGCTGTGAGTATTGTAGCCTTGCTTCATCTGCAAGGTTCAGTGGCCAGCTCATCCTCCTGTGTCTCAGTGGCTACAAGATGCTTTTCCAGTACAGTGGCTAGCTTGTTTTTCCAAATGACAGTGGTTAGCTAATGCTACCTTGTGACAGTGGCTATCTAATGCTACCACGTGACAGTGGCTCGCTTACGTTGCCATTTTACAGTGGTTAGCTAATGCTACCACGTGACAGTGGCTCGCTTACGTTGCCATTTTACAGTGGTTAGCTAATGCTACCTTGTGACAGTGGCTAGCTAATGCTACAATTTCACAACAGCTACACTCTCAGAAAAAAGGGTAAACATTTGTACCTTTGCTTGTACCCTTAAGGGTCTGAAAATTGTACCCTTAACTATAGGTAATTGTACCATTTAAGGTACAGAAATGGACTCTGAGGAACATTTCTCCACCATTGATGGTACATTAATGCTGTTTGTACCTTGGGGATGTTCCTCAATTTCTGTACCTTAAAAAGTACAATTACAAGGGTACAACCCCACTAACAAGCAAAGGTACACATTTTTATCCTTTTACAAGACGAACCAAACGATTTAGCTGAACACAAGAGCCTTTCAGTTTTAGCTTGTGAAACGTGAAGTAACTCTTAGGCTACGTTCACACTGCCATGCTGAAGTGACTCAAATCAGATTTTTTGCCTTAATGTGACACAGATCTGATCTTTTCAGGGCTGTGTGGACACGCAAATCTGATCTTTTTAAATCAGATTTGTGTCACTTTCATATGTGGTACTAAACCTGATACGTATCCGATTCGCGGCCATGCGACCTGAATGTGACGCTCAGATCGGAATTCATGTGGCTTTTTGCTTATACGCATGCGATGACATCATCAGCCTGCACCGGCAGCCCGGGAAGGTAAAAATGGGGGAGAGCTGCGATAACAGTCACTGGAAGGATGGAGAAGTTGGCGATTTAGTTGATATTTGGGGAAATTAATCTGTTCAAGCTAAACTGGAAGGAACCTATCGTAATAGAATAGTAATTGAAGTAATTGCCAAAGAAATGACACAGCGCGGACACAGACGAACGTGGCTACAATGCCAACGAAAATAAAGAGCCTGAAGTCAAAGTTTAAGGAGGCAAAAGACCCGAATCAGCGCAGCGGTCATGGCCGCACAACATGCCAATTTTACGACCAGCTTTTTACCCGTGTAAAAATGCATCAACGTGCGCATGCGTGACGTTTCGGAGGACCGATGCTTTCACATTACAGTCAGATACAGGTCACTTGTAGTTATGAATGTGAACCGTCAAGATAGACAAATCCGATCTGAGCAAAAAATCGGAATTGAACGATGTGGCTGGCAGTGTGAACGTAGCCATAGTGTCTCCCTGACATGAATTAGGTGGTCACCCTATGTGTCACAGTGATTAGCTGGTCCTTCTCTGGCTCGGTAGCTAATTCATGCTCTCATAAGATACAGGCCACAGCAGGCTCCTCTAGTGCACTGGCCAGTCCTAGTCAGGGCAGTGGTTGTCTCTCGGAGCTTGGTGCCTTCTCATCAAAGCTCGCCCATGTTGAGTGAAATATGAAGGTCATCGGGGGAGATCGATTTTCTCTAAGTCGGCTGACAAAATAATCATCTGAGTTTCAGAGAGCTCCTTAGGGGGGCGGCCTTGGGGACTGGATCGATACGTGGGGAGCATGACCCTCTGCAGATCCGTTACCCAATTTCATTGTTCTTTAGCCAGGCAGTTGTGGTAGGAGGATGGAGTTACATTGCACCCATCCAACCTTAATCCTACCACAAATATCAATGTAAGAGCGGTGGGCGCCCCAGAAGGTTATGGCACTGTACCTGTGATCAGAAGAGTGTTGGTTTAAATCCCAGGACTCACCATTGAGCCCTTGAGCAAGGCCATTAACTCCCAGTTGCTACTTTCTCAAAAAAAGTAAAGTAAATCATACAGTTGCCCTGCTCCACACCCCTGTCCCTAAACCACATCTCTCCCTCTTCCTCTCCCCCACCACCCCACGCTGCCCGGTGTAGACCCTGCTCCGCGACGGGCGGAGGGAGAATTCGGTCAGCACCCTCTACCTCCCTGCGTCCAGCGTGGAAAGCGGCCAGCGCATCACCTGCCGAGCATCGAACAAGGCCGTCCCCGGAGGCAAGGAGACCCGGGTCACCATTGACATCCAGCGTGAGTGCGGCCTTCCGGAACCATCTCAGCCGCCTCCCTGCGCCCCGTGCAGTTCGTGTGCAGCAGCCATCGCCCTGGCAGCCCATCATCTTCATAGTAACTCTTTTCCAGTTCGGCAGCTCGGCGATTTCCGTTTTAATATGCGTGGCATCAGCGGATGAGAGTTCTTCTTTCAAGTCCAACTTTGGCCCAGTAAGATGCAGGAAACACGGCCTTACGTTTATAAACAGCCATCGCAACGCTTCCAAAGTGTGATGCATGCGCCTCCCTGAACGGTTTTTTTAAGCGCACAGTGCGTCTCCGCTCACTGAGCTGTGAGTTTATTTTAAACCTACGAGGACTGCATGCTGATATTCCAGAATAACACAGACGCCACGATGAAATATTTATATCGACAATATTTTCTTGTTTTTTTTCCCTTAAACTGCATAAAATGTGTTAATATCACATAAATATTTGCATGGTAACAAGCAGAGATAAAGGATAGAGGATTCTGATCGATGTTTAAATAGAGGGGCTCTTTTTGGGAGGTGTTGATGTCTCGCTCTGCCTTTTAGACCTGCTGTCACATCTGGGTCAAAGAGTAAATTTGCATGAAGCTGCATCTTGTTTCTATTTTAGTGGCATCTTCTCTCCACGTTCCTCCCGCACGCCGCTGTCAGTTTCTACCACAGAAGTGCAGGTTGTAAAATCCTCCCCCACCTCGAAGCAGAATAAATAAACCCTGCACGACAGAAGATAGTGTTCCGATAACATCTTCAGATCAAGAGCCACTCGGCGGCGCTAAAAGTTTCCCACAGAAGCATTTTTGCGTCGCTCTCGGCCACATCACCGATATTGGGCTTGAACAATAAGGCAGAAAATGTTATTCGGAGATGAATTAATGTAGACGGATCTATTCTTTTTGTCGTGCCATCCTTTTAATCCTAGAGTAAGCGCTCCCAGAGCAGCCCAGCCGACACACATACACGCACATCCAACAGAGGATAAACAAACAAACTCTTAAAGCGATTAAGACTTCCCGACTTTTGTACCGCTTCTCACGACTTTTTCCGGCGTGACGTCACGGAATGGCGCACACTCTCCCCCGGCGAGACCCCGGGCCTGACCGCCGCGCGCCGTCGCAGCCGGAAGTCAGATTACGGGGAGGACGTGATTGCCGTCTAAACTGCCGTTACTGCTGCTGGCAGGCGTGGCCAGAATTGGCTCCAAAAAAATAGGCTGTTTGGCATAGTTATCATACAGCGCTCCCCCCGCCCCCGCCGCCGCCCTCCTTTGCAGAACTTGCACATTAAAGCTGAAGAGGAAAAACTGGCCTGAGGCTGTTTACAGGGGGAACAGGTGGTGAGTGAATAACTAAATTACTGACCAAAGGTGGGAAGCTGTGGGTTTGGCTGCCTCCCCCTTTCCGCAATCTTCCGAAGCACATCATCAGGCATTGGGTCGTGGATCGCGGGCCTGGTTGGTTCTAGAGGGCAAGGACGCACGCGAGCACCATAAGCATGGTAGCGGTTCATGCATTCTAGGGGGGGGTTACCTGGGCAAACTAGAGCTTGTTTGACTTTTGCTTACAATTCTTAGCCATCATTTGGACAAATGTCTCGCACCATATAAGGTTTAAAGTCCAACTCCGTCCACACGGCGTCCAAACCAGTGGGGGAAAAATGCCAAAGTCCTGACATATTCCACCACTCACCTTGTGGTGTCTGGTCGCTCATGCTTGCAAATCAAAGTAATCCAAACTTAACTTTTATTGTGCCATTAGTTAAGTTTTATTTTCGTGTTCAATCTCAGTAAGGGAGTCCATGCAAGCAGGCGGGGCCAAACCTGATCGCAGGTTGGTTCATTTGCATAAATTTGCATGACCCCATCCTATTCTGATAAGCCACACCTCCCCAGAGCACATATCTGCCCGGCTGTGTCTGGAAGCCCTTATCTAGCTGCATAGCGACTGCGTGTGCAACAGTAAGCAAGTGAGTGGTGAGTCTCTGGGAGTGTCACCCCACTCATTCTCCCCCAGCCTGAAGCTAGCCACCCCCCCACCACGGATATGCTAATCGCTAAATGCAGAGGGGCTTGATGTGAATCGCAGAGTTTGTGTTTTATACCCTCAGACACCCAGTAACAAAATCCTTCTGTTACTACGGGCAACCAGCAGTGGGTTGAGGGGGGGGGCACTCAAAAATTCTGCATGAATAAATAAATAGTAAATAAGAATAAAGTGAATAATTAACGGTATAAATGCTTCTGCTTTGACTCGCATGGCTGTGCTTTTCCTCTTTGTCGAGCCCAAACAAGAGTTTCAGGCAATGAGGCAGAGTTTTCAAAGTACATTTAAAGCTAAATAAAGGTGACAAAGACAACGGCAACAAATAATGTTTTTATTATTTGAAGAGAAAAACAGTACAAATAGGTTGCTGGTTCAACTCCCAGGGTAATTGCTGCTGTTCGAATTCCATTCCGGACCTCTAACCTGAACTACATTAGACAATAAAAGAATTCTACCAAGGCGAATGGAGGGAGTTTATAAAAGTAGGCAAATATGAAACTTAATGAACTCATAACCCGGATGGGTATGGGGTCGAATCCCAGGGGAGCAGGCAGCTACTCAGTGAGTGGGCAGACAAGCTATCTCGTGGGAGGAAAAATTCAGAACTCCTTCTTGGCAAGATCAGACCATCAGGAAAGAGGATTATGGGGTTTCACTAATTTGGACCTGCGAACATGTGTGACGAGAGCTTCAGCAACATCCCATGGAAGTTTCGACTTGCAGCCCAGAGTTTCACGTCAGACCCCCACGCAAATGCTGATGAGCTCTAGACGTGGAGGTCCGATTTCAGCAGCATTCCCCGAAAGACGATGCCTGGGTCTGTCCCTGGCTTGTATGCTTGTCTGAGATGAGGTCCACATGTTTGTGGGTATCTCACCTGTTTGGGAGCCATTTGCAGCATCTCAGAAGCTTGTCTCCCACCTCCCGCGTCGTCTGTCACGGGAGCTCGGACTGATCCCCCTCGAATGGGAGCCCACTGCTCCTCTTTACCAGCCTCCTCTTTCTGGGTATCCACCAGCCTGCTTCACCAAGGGGATAAACTCCCTACTCAGCAGAGGAGATGGTTCCTCGCCTGTTTCTGCCGGGGGAGGGGGGGGGGTGGGGGTACACCGCGATTGACATTTGGCAAAAAAACGTGCCGCCTCTAAATGAACGAGAAACAGGGACCTCCTGAAGGAGTCACGCGCCGGAAAATTTGCCAAGCTGAATATGATCCTCAGGGAAAGAATTCGGTTTTTGAACAGCATCCTCCGAAACGTTCATCCCTCTGTCAGTCCGTCTCGGACGTGGCCTCCTGTTTCCTCCTGCCTCTCTTCGCCCACCTGGACAGACTGGCAGGCAAGGGGATCGACCTTGCCAGTCATCAGCTGGAGCGGGGAGGTGCGGGCGGGAGGCCAGGGTGCGGAGGCGTCCGGCACGCCGGCTGAGTCCGGGCGGTCACCTGCCTGGAGCCTGCCCCAGGCTATCCGCCCCCACGCCCCATCTGAAATGCAGGCACGGGGACCGCAATTACCCAGAGCCACATGCTACATGCATGCGGCCGACTCCCCCAGCCCCTGCTGGCCTGTCAGGGAGAATATCCTGTAAAGCTTCATGATGGATTCACCGTTGACCTCCGTGCTGAATGTATCACGCACACGGGGCAGCGGCATATGTGACACAAATACATAATCACAAACTTACAGTGGGTGGGGACAGACAGAAGAAATCAAACTCAGAACTCAATCCGCAGAGCACTGGCGTGGCCCAGATCTTCACCATTATACATATTCACCATTTGGGGCCTCATTTGGCTGATTGTGAAATAACGGAGGAGGCTCCTGCCTAGTTAAATAGATCGACATCCCGAACCTCGCTGGCGTGATCCCAGGAGGACCAGAGAAGTAATGTTCTTATGCGAGAAGCTTCACCTGAATCTCTCCAGTAAAACAGCAGTAAGAAAAACACAGGAAGTCTCTTTCTGGACGAACATGTCAGCTAACAGCTAATTATAAAGTCATTGCTGCTCTTTACTTTGCCAGCCATGTTGCTCCTCTGTGTTGGGGGTTTCCAGTTAGTAGTGCAGCGAATGGCCCCATGAAGCCTCGCCACGCAGTGTCACCTGGACTTTTCTAGATCACGTCCACGTCTGACGGCCTCCATGTCGAATCAGCCAGTAGTTCAGGGCCGTGAGCGTCATGCGTCTCACAGCTCAGCTCTCGGTCTGGTACTTTCGCAGCTGGAATCGCATGGGACAGCGTTGGGGCATTTCTGCTCCATTTCGCTGTCCCTTAATATAATGTCACCGAAGCATCATTTATGTTTCTTTTTATTATTCATGATGGCAGTAGGAGCCACACAGAGCGGCCCTGGAGCAAATTGACCATTCCACCGCTAATTCTGAAGTGTAACCCTGCCTCCGTTTCGGAGCGTTAATGCCTCTCCGGACAGCGAAAGTGCTTCCGAGAAGAAAGCGTCTCTGCAATTATCAGGCGGACAATTGGGCAGACTTTCCAAATGAACGCAATTTCAATAAATGGAGGGGGACGATTTTTGCGGCGCGCCTGTGAGTGAGAGGTCGCGGTCCCGCCGACTTTCTGAGGCTCCGGATTCAAAGCCCCCACCCTGAAGAGAAGTCTGATGCAACAGAGAGGGGGGGGGCGTGCGTGCGCGAGGTGAGTTACGGCCACGGTATTAAGTGAACTTTGAAGTAGGCGAGCAGAAGGCCCACGGCATCCCTTTTGTGACTCAGGAAGCGAGGTATTTGTTG